ATATATATATATATACGTATTATATATGTACATGCATATATACCATATTGTAGTCATTTCGAACTGCACACCGAATTGATTTTCCGGACTTAAACGCAATTAATTACTGTAATGATATCACAAATTAAATTGATAAGCAAATTTTAATAATTTGATGCTCAATCCGATATCATATATTAGAAAAATGTGCTGAAAAAATGTAAATAAATTTATTGCGAAAAATATTACTTTGGCCGAGAATCGAACCCGGATCTTTTATATTCTGTATGAGTGTCCTGAGCTTTTAAACCGAGGCATGTATAATTCACATTATTTAAGCATTAAAAATCCAGTTTCGATCATTATAGGTGTTAATATTTTTATTTGATAATATATTATTTGAAATCAAAAGAGTCATAGCAAAATAATTTAAAATACAATTCATCTCAAAAAAGACTAAAAGAGGAGAGACTATCACAGATTTCATGCGAATCTTGCGAAGCGGATCTGAGACGCCAGGCTCAGTGCTCGGTCCGCGGATTTAATAATCCGTGGATCCGGATTCGATCTCATCGGCGCCTTACATACGCAGTAATTTTTCCTGCGTAATTTAAGGAGCAAGAACATCGCTCTGTAAATCTACAAGTTAAATGCTAGTACAAAAAAAGACTAATTCATATAGAAGGCATACTATTCGTGATTTCTATACAAAAGTATGTCTTTTGTTCCTCCTAGGGAAGGATATGTACAAATTTATCGTCGCATGTGATACTGTGATAGTAATTTATATGTATAATGAAGAGAGAAAAAGTAGAAACCTTGCGAATCCAACTCCTTTGCTCTGGCCGGAAGTATCGCGCAGAATACGGGTAGAGATAACTTGTCCGTATTGAGCGAGTAATGCCTCGACGTCGTTCTCTTTAAAGGTCAGCGGCAGGTTGGCGATGTACAGATTAGTGGGATCCTGCTCCTGTTGCTGGGAAGAGAGTAAAAATACTATGCAATTACATATAACAGGGTAACACAATGGATATAATGATTTTCAAACAATTCTGAAGCGGATTATCATTTTAACTTCCACGACTGTCGTTTCTATCGTCGCTCTCTGTGGGTTCGATCGATCAGAAATTGATGCACAGGTAAGACGAGACGATAATCCACAAATCCGAAACCGATTGAACACGTTTGCAAAATCTGTCCAATTATTTCAATACCATTACTATATTGTACTGTTTGTACTGTTTACTTTCATCGTCATTATCATATATATCAGCGTAGAGTTATAAAAAAATATTAAGAATAATCTGATGACAAATGAGTACGTTGCGCAATTTTTTTGCTTAGTCTGGAACGTTAAAATGATATTCGCGAATTTATCGAATGACGACTGAAATAATAACACATGGAAAGGTATTTTTTCAAATGTTATTCTCAAAATAGCAACGAGACGTTTCTAACCGCGGACACGTGCGAAAAAATGAATCCAAATTCCGTACGCGTGAAAAGTATCGCTAGCCTCGTCGTAAATAGCACAACGTAAAACGTTTCTACCAACATTGACACTACGAGGAGACCATTAAGCAGTAATCGCCGTCTAAATTTCGAAGAAAGAGTGCAAAAATAGGGAACGAATGGGTACCGAATACCGGTATCGGAACGTGGAACCGACTGGACGATTATTTAGTCTCAATGTCGGAAGGTAATCATGCTTCATGGCAATTACGTTACCACATTCTTGGTGGCTCTCTAAATTTGCTTGCTTCTAGGGATGCATTCGATTCATCTCTTTTGACTAACGTACTTCTACCTCTAAAAATACGACTTTTCGTTTTCCGCACGCAAAAGAACATGCTATATAACGCGAGTATTAAATCATATACACATACACATTACTGTACACGTTAAAATTCCTTGTAAAAAATCGAATTTTTGTCAAAAAATCGTGTCGTTTCTTTATGATTCAGGATAAAAGTCCCAAGAAGACACGACAGAGATAAGAGAAAATGCACGTAAATAAAATCAGACGTAAAAGTAGTCCGAACGAGGATGTAATACAAAACGAATAAAAGGATTAAACAGGAATATATAAAGGTATCGAATGTAATAAGATACAATGTACAAATATGAAAAAAAGACAGATTATAGAAACTCTCTACTGCGATTCTTTCTACCAAGATTCTATTAATAGATTTTTTTATTTAATTCATACAAGATAACGAGACAAATACGTCACCTATGCATATACTTTGTCGCGTTTTTTTCCTCGTAAGGCAGAATTGGACAAATTTTCCCGTGTATTGTGCACGTGAGGTGAAATTTGATGCGAAACGCTCATTTGCGCAATGATAATCGTCTCGAGTTACCGTGGCGTTTCAAAATTTCGTGACGTATGTAACCGATGCACATTATAAATTTATCACAGAGCGCCCGCAGAAAAAAAATTAAAGATACGCGGCCAAATTTCTACACACCGGCAGCATTAAAAAAGATAATAATCAAGAATAGTACCTATATACGAATAACGTACATCTATCTTCACGTTTCTAATGTTATTTACATGTGTCGAAAATCGTCTTCATCTTTTTTTACAAATAACCATTCAAAGCGGTAATAAAGAACAGGGTCATAGTAACATGTGACATTTCATTGGAAACAGAAAGAGAGAAACAGAGAGAAAGAGAAAAAGATATAGAGAAAGAGAAGCATGATAAAGAAAAGCACAGGCATTTTTACGTATACATATATATATACATACATATATGTATATACAGTTATATATTGTATATGAGTAATGAACAAATATGGAGAAAGAGAGCAACTCTTGACGAGTATAGTGTCGCACAAAACACATAATATATGTGAAGTATATGGACGTACATATACATGTGTTCATGCTCCGATTTTATGTTTATTATAAGAATTTCACAGGAGAATAATATAAGATAAATAGAACAAAGGAAGAAAAGGAGGAAAAAGAAAAGAAAAAAAAAAGAAATGAAGAGAATGCAGAAAAAAGTAAAAACATATGCGTGTCTGAAGACTGATGAGATATTATGCACCCTCAAGCATATTTCGAGATCCACCACTTTTGTCAACGAACCAATCAAAAGTATTCTACGATTACTTGAGTATATACTTATACTTTACGACAATTTACTTCAATCTTGCGAATGCATTAAAACAAAAAAACAAATAATGAAAATATCATGATAATATAAGCCAAGCTGATGGCATTTTAATATATATGTATATACATACATACATACATACATACATACATACATACATACATACATATATATGTATATATACATACATACATATGTATACGTGCATGGATATATCCACGTGCGCATATGTATGAGGATTGCCATGGAATGAGACAGTGTCGATTATTAACAAAGCGGAGCTTATTTGTTTTTCGAATAAATGCGTGCAGATTCCATCGACTTTCCATTTCCATTGACAGTTTCAATCGCACCGTCTTTCATTCCGCGACATCCTGATATATATCAGATACAGTAGGAATTTGATTATATCGAATATTATTTGACCAAATGTTTGATAATTCGAATAATACAGAGAAAATATGCAAATGTTCGGACGTTTTCTTGCAAAAGCGATCGTCCGGATAATCATTGATCGTTTTCTCACATCATTCGAATGATCAAATACTCGGTTAAATGATATTCGAATAATCGATTTCTATTGCATTATGTCTTAATTGTATTTTTTATATTCCGATAGAACAGTTTACAAATTCGTAAAAAATACGACCTATGCTATCGGGAACTTTTCTATAAGATTCAACAGCTTGATTTATAATTGACATTTTCTCTCGAGTAGTTTTATTTATTTTATCTGATTCTGATTGTTTCTTTTACTCCATTATCTACGGCTCTCTGTAATTCTCTGTAATAAACATCATTTTATATTTATATAGTTATTATTTGTGCAATTTACATAAAATAAATCGATTCTGTGATCGATTCTTTAATCTCTTTTTTTATGTAGTACAAGTAATGTTTAATTACCAAACTTGAGGTCCCGTTTTTTCTGAATCTTAAGACTGGCTCCCGAATGCACTTCGCAACCTGTAGGTGTGTATTTGATTAAAGTGTGTAATTAATGTTTCATTATATATTTGTATATAAGAGAAGTAAGACAAATGTACGTGTGAATCCGACCCAACACCCCTCGAGGAAAGACAACGCCTATATCCGAACATAACCGCCTAACTATACGATTTACCATAGGATTTACCGAAAAATTATGGTATTGTTTCGCTTTTAGTTATATCATATCGCATGCGATTGACATCATTATCATTATTTTACACAGCTGCTGGTCATCACACCCCGTGCTTTTTACCACGGTCAGCTTAAAGGAACTATTCCATTGGAGTTAGTCGTACAAGGACAAATAGTACAAACAGGCGGGAGGCCGATACTCTCTCGTTCGGCAGTGTGTGCTTTTTCTTTACTTATGGTTGTCTCGAGCAGGATTTAATGCAAGAGAACGTAAGACTGAGACGACTGTCGCAAAGCAGAGTCAGGCGAAATGCAATCGAATCTTTGATCAGCTAATAAAATCAACATAATTATCAAGTAAATAATCGCGAATCATATCATCATTATTTTTTATCAAGAAAAAGAAATAGACGATCACACCGCCGAACACTGCTATCGAGTCGACATTGACAAGTTTATAATCTGATATTATGGTTTGAAGTAATTACTCTTTTCTTTAAACTGCTAATATTACACGGAAACATAATAAACGTTACACAATATATTGATATTACACAATATATTGACTATGCTACTACTGATACGTCGCTTATGCTGCCATACTTCAATATAACACTTTTCTTTTTTTTCTTTTTCTTTCATTTTATTGTCAAATCATTTAGCGAGCAAAGTCAAGCTCCAAGGATGGTATTCATAGATGGAGATAATCTCATAAAATATTTTTCTCTAATAGCAAACATGTTTATAATTATACAGACTTAAACTTATAAATTCCTTAGCTGAGTTAAATTTTATGAATTATTTAAATAATCGTAATTATTAACTGAGCCACTCAGTCTCTTGTTTATTATATATTAATCACCGATTCAATAAATAAGCTTCACGTTTTCAATAAATAAGTTCAATTAATTGGATTGCTTTGACATCTGCCAAACTATAATGCAATTATAAATGCTATTTTTCATAATATATCAGTATTATCATTGATTATACAAGTTACAAAAAAACAAATATCAATACAATAAGAAAAAAATGTTACATTAAATATATTATTCTAATTAACGGTTGAATTATTTATCAATTATTTGACGATATAATTTATATCATTTATTTATAAATCGAAAAATATTTGAAGCATATAATAAACTTCTAGAAAATGAAAAAAATGAATATTAGATAATTAGATAATTCATGAAATCTCACAATCCTATATTAAATAATGACTATGAATACGACCTTACATGGATATCGACAAGTATTGAATTTCCTTTAAGATTCGAAATTAATGCTGAAATTCGCAGAATGCAATTCTCATGACATGACGATTGTAGACATAATGTCGACATAGCATAGTATCGGCTATATATGTGGCCGAGGTATAGCAGCAAGCACCGATAAAGGGTCTGGTAGGTAAGGTACGTAAGACAGAATAACAGACAAAGTATCAGAGAAAATTTCTAGATAAATGAAAAAAGCAGAGAGAAACAGAGACAGATTCTCGATGGAAAAAATATTATAGTTCCCGACATATAGAAAATACACGCATAGAAAGATATTTATTGGAAATATGCTTATCGCTATAAAAAATAAATTTTTTACCGAATTGTATATTAAATGTATAATGATTTATGATTGTTTTTTTATAATTTCTATTGGATACTTTGGATTATCTAAAATTACATACTCTCGCAAATTTTAATTTTATTAAATTTGGAAACAAATGAAATTGTAAAATAATCGATGAAAAAAACATTTCATTTACATAATAAGATATTTTTTCATTTATAATAAATCTTGTAGAATATATACGACATAGTAAAAACTGAATAAAGTTTATTAATATAAATGCGCA